CCCAGTGTCTTGGATATTCATAAGTATACTGACTTTCTTGAATTTTGGTTGGTTTCATCATAACGTGTTCATAGTATATCTTTATACTCTTGTCAGTTAGACTCGGTGCTATGTTCTGAATATTTCTGACTTGCATTTTTAATGGAGATAAAATGAAGCATTTAATACATGACGTAGATGAAGACATGAATGAAACTACAGACAAACTTAACTCTTCTCTTATTCTTCCTTTCAGCAAAGATTATGAGTTCTGTTCAAATGGTGTGTATTTCTATTGTGGAAAGATGGGTTCAGGTAAGACATTTAACCTCATTCGTCATATACTCATAACAGAGCGTTTAGGAAACGACTCTTACTATGACCAAATCATTATATCAGCAACTTCAGACTCTATGGACTCAACAGCGAAAACATTTATGTCAAAAGTTCAAGCCTCTGTCGTTAAAGTTCCAGACAGTGAACTCATTGAATTTCTTCAACGTTACATTCGACGTAAGAGAAATATTATGCCATCGTAATTTATACAGTCAGGAATGCAAAAGACTTCTGAGGAGATGGAAAGAATTATTGACAAACACCACTTACGTCAATACTCAGGAGTTTACGATATGAAACGACTTACAAACTACATTCTGTCAAAACTTTCAAAATACCCCTTCAAAAAGTATCCTTCAAACACTCTGCTCGTTTGTGACGACTTCGCCGGAAAAGGTTTAGTGTCAAAAGCCTGACTCACCATTAGCTAACATCATAACTAAAGTCAGACATTACCATTTAACTGTAGCAATACTTATGCAAACATGGCGTTTCTTGCTTTAAACATAAAACGTCTCATAACTGACTTCGTTATCTTTCAAGGTTTCTCACGCTATGATATTGAACTCATTTGGAAACAGTCAGGTATAACATTACCTTTTGAAGAAATTTGGGAAGCATATAAGTCTCTCATCTCTCCTCGTTCATACCTTGAGATTCATATCATGACTAATACCATTAAAGTCAAAAATATTCCATGGGAACGACCAACATTGTTTTAAAGTTTAACCTTCAATTGACTGATGGTAAACAAATTCCATGCATCTCTGTCGCCATTTCTGTTAATATTTTTGCTGTCATTCATATCATCCACTTCCCCATCCGTTAGCTTTTGAGGATATGCGTTAGAATAGCTGTTCTTAAATGAAGGCTTTTCACCTTTGAGAGCATAAACTCTATAACTTTCTGCATACTTTATGTTTGAACCTCCTGAGCCATCATTGACATAAATTTTTATAGGCTTCCACCCTTTGTTCATGTTCCTGCTTCTTCCCTTAGCTCTTTTGTTCAGTAGTTCTACATCTTTATACACAGCACCTGTCTCAGTGAATTCAACAATATTTTCATTCGTTAGCTTTACATTCAAACCCTTGTCGAGTATATTGTTCATTTCATACATATAAAAGGTTTTTATTCTATATGAAATGAGAAGCAAATCCATCTTAGCTGGTGCCGTTAATGTTCCAATTGAACCAACATCAAATGTTGACTCACGAACGACAAACAATATTGTCATAAAGAACTATAGTTCAGAGTGTTTGAAAGAAAAAGAACCAGAACTTAAGTCGGGAGGTCTTGGCGCATGGCGCCGTGAATTTAAACTCAGCTTCAAACGCTAACGCTACATCAGATGTTAAGTTAGAGTATCCACCACTGGACCAAATTCTTTCAAGAGAAGCCAACGACAACCCTTACACAAATGTTCAAACAAATCCTTCAGATAACGTAGACCATTACCTTCTTCAGTTATACCAAACAATTTTACTCAAAGACGATAAGAAGCTTTTGACAAATCTTATAAGCAAGAACCAAATAATTCTAACAAAGGAGGACCTTGAAAATGTTATCTCACGAATAACAGGGAAACAATGTGTCATTGACTATCTCGACCCTGAAATCGAATGCTGTGGTCAAACTCCACTATTCATGAAAATAGGTAACATCCGCATCATTGAAACACCAGGAACTACAGGAGTTGAGTTTAAGTATAAATATTCGAACGAGTATACAAAACTTTCAACAGAATATAAACTTTGCTTGAAATATGTTTTAGTAAATTAAAGCAATTTGTAATATCTATCCAAAACTTCTTCAACAGTATCGAACTCATCTTCATAATGCAAACCTAATCTTATTGACTTGGTGCAGTTTTCACTAACACAATATTTTTCTGTTCTCTTGACTGACATAACTAACTCATTTGTTTCATCAAACAGCAACAACCAAAGTTCATGACCTAATACATAACATTCATACTTTATATTTTTAGCTCTGAGTTCTCTTGTAAGCTGTTGCATTTAATATTTTCTAAAAAGTCAACTTCAACAGTCATTCGCACTGGTGCCTTCAGTTCTACAGGCTCTCCTTGAAAGTCAACAAGTCTGAATTGCATGTCTTTCAAATTATGAGGACTAATGCGAACCCATTTACCTAAATGAGTTGCTATGACAGGAACGTTTGGAATGAACATTGAATTGACTGCATAACAGAAGGATTTATATTCTACTGAACCTTTACTATTAACTCCTGAAATACCTGTGACATTAGCTATTTTAGACTCAATGTACAAACAATTACCATAACATACGTATGGAACAGATTTCATCTCAATCGTTTTGTCAACACTTTTCAAAGGAAATGTCATATGGTATGCACCCAAAAGAAGTTGTACTCTATGACTCATTCGTGTTATCTTAAACTCCTTCGCATAACTGAACTTCAAAACTCCTGCAATAAGTTTAACATTCATTAAGTTTTCTTCGTTCTCCTTGTTTATTGTAGTATTTATGAGCGCATTTAACACTCCAGCTAATGTTTCCATCTTATATTCTACATTATTGTGAAATCTTATTTCGTGCTTCTTTCCATCTATTTCAAACTCCATGAAATCTGTTTCGTCAGTTATAACGAATGAAGCAATAGTATTAAAGTCAACAACTCTGAAAGCAAGCGCTTCATTCTGAAGACCTAAGTTTGTTTGTAGCTTTACTGTCCCGTATTCGTTTGGGTCTGTACTTTGCAAATAGAACAACATTTTATTCTCATTAAAATATGACTATTGCTGCATATGCGTATGAAACAAATGAAGCAAGAAGAGCACATGAACTAGTAAACGAAAACTCAACTTTAACCATTGAAGGCAATGATTTAGTCATTGACGATGGAAAAACTAAAAAAGTCATTGATTTCGATACTTTTAACACTTATGACCCATTCATTACAACAAGCAAGGTTCCCATCATAAATGATGGAACGGTGCAATATATAAATTCTACAGTAGATGCCTCATTAGTGAAAGTACTGAATGTTCTCATTGAATTGTTAAAGAGCTTTCGATTTGACGACAACATTAAATGCCTAAAGAATTTAGTCATGAATGAGAAACAAATTCTCGGCGTTGCTGGTAGCAGTAATGATGTACACCTTATGACATTAGAATATTATAACGAACATAAAGATGAACTGAAAGGAGAGAAGGGTGACACGGACCACAAGGACCACAAGGAATACAAGGAATACAAGGAATACAAGGACCTCAAGGCGAAAACGGTTTGGATGGAAAGGATGGAAAGGATGGAAAAACTGCTAAATCATGGATATGGGACCTTATAAATACTGGTTTAACAGCTGCTTCATATGGAGTTCTTCAATACCAAATCGGAAAGATATGGGCAGTACTTGGTGAAGAAGCTTTAGATGACGTTAAAAATGCTTTGAACTTCATTTCAAATGGTTCGGATACTATTAAAACTTTATCTGGTTGGATGCAAGAAACAAGGAGTCAAATAGATACTGTAAGACGTATAGCAAACAATGCACGTACGGGATTGGATACTTTACGAGAAGCACAAAATACACTAAAGGAAGCAAATGATATTCTTGGCTCAGTATCAGACATGCATGAAGATTGGCTTAAAGGTATTGACAAATCTTTAAAAAATCACAGTCAGTCTATTGCTGACTACAAGAAAAGTATAGATTTTTTACATAGTGCTATGGACGTACATGATGGAAGCATAAGGAACTTACTTAATGCTAACAATAACTTACCAGGAACTATTAAAGCATTTATAAAGTCCTTTGTAAAACCCGGTGCTCTAACATTTAGGTCTTTGAGAGCAAGAGCATTGAAGTCAAGAGATGCAGAAACTCCAGAAGAACCACCAAAACCAACAGCTAATGAAATATTGTTCGAATATTTTCCAAGGTACTCTGTTCTCATTGCATACATTCAAGAAATACTTAAGAAAGCAGACTTGACTTTAGGAGATGATGAAAGTTCTGTATATCTTTCGTTCCAGTTTCAAATAGCAGAACTTTTGAGACAGATATGCTTAATGTATGACAACATCTCTGATTTCACAAGATATGATGACGACCATGACCCCGAACACTGTGAAGAAGAAGTTTTACAAACATCCATTAAGACAGGAAAGGTTTTAACTCAAAGTCTCATTATTGACACCAAAGATGGCGAAGTGGACGTTCTTCAAGAGCTGAAGAAAAATACTTCTTCGGGAGGTGGTGGTAGGCATGAACTTGAAATAAATGAGATAGAAGAGAAATTAGCCGAAAAAGCAGATAAAGAACATAAACACAATATCTCCGATATAAATGAACTTCAAGCTACATTAAATAGTAAAGCAGATAAAAACCATGTTCATTATATAACTTCAGATGAACAGATTATAACGGACTACCATGGATATTTAACACAGGATGAAAAAGTGAAGACGGAAGATGTTAATGAAAGAAGATATAAATACATTCGTGCTAAAGGTTATGACATAAGCTGTACTGTACATTATGACACAGGTAAAGCGCTAGAAGCATTTAGTTATAACGATGAAATTTATGCCTCTACTTTCAATGTTAACGGTGTATTAGTTGAACCAAGATTTACTTTGAGAGTTAAGGCAAAAATAACTTTTGAAGATGCTATTAAAAGTAGAGCCGACAAAGATGAATTTGACGCAACGAACAAAGTTTTGAAATCTCATAAACACAATATCTCCGATATAAATGAACTTCAAGCTACATTAAATAGTAAAGCCGACAAAAATCATACACATAAATCCTTCACTACTGTTAGAGCAGACGACATAATATTGAACTATGATTTGGGTTCAAGTGCACCTTTAGAGAATCCGAGTACAAGCGTAAAAGATACTCTTAACAATTTAGATAAGAGTTGTAGGAATATCGAAGATCATGCCAGAAACTTTGAAGCATATGAACTACCATCAATGTTAGACAGTAAAGCCGACAAAAATCATACACATAAATCCTTCACTACTGTTAGAGCAGACGACATAATATTGAACTATGATTTGGGTTCAAGTGCACCTTTAGAGAATCCGAGTACAAGCGTAAAAGATACTCTTAACAATTTAGATAAGAGTTGTAGGAATATCGAAGATCATGCCAGAAACTTTGAAGCATATGAACTACCCGCAATGTTAGACAAGAAAGCAGACAAAACAGAGCTTCAAACATTAAAGACTCAGATTCTTGAAACATTATATCCTATAGGCTCTATTTATACGTCAATGAACTCAACAAATCCAGCAACAGTTTTAGGTTTTGGTACATGGCAGCAGATTGTAGACAAATTCTTATACTGTGCTAACTCTTCAAAGCAAACAGGAGGTTCGAAGAAAATTACTGAAGCAAACCTTCCACCGCACACTCATACAGGAACTACAAACTTTTCTGGCGACCATAGCCACTCATTAAGAGACCATCCATTATACAACTCAGAGTATGAAGCTGGCAATGATGTTTTATCTCCATCTTATAACAATTCAGCAAAAAAGACTTTTCGACCAACTGAACCAGGAGGAAATCATGTCCATACTTTCACAACAAATCCAACAGGCTCGGGTGCAGATTACATGCCACCATTTGTGACTGTATTTGCATGGTACCGCGTTCAATGAACGCGCTTGAGCCTGCTTTGCGGGCTTACCGTCTTGAATAAAATCTTTAACTTTACATAAATGAGCTTGAAAGAAGTATTCGAACAACATCCATGGAGGTCATTTAAGAAATTCAATGAAGCTGCAAAGAGTTGGGGATTTACTAACAGAGCTGAAGTGAAAAGGTTCTTTGACAAAAATGTTGTACATCAAACAAAAATAAACCCTTACGACTACTTTTTACCAATTTACTCCAACACTCCTGACGCATACCAATTTGACACTCTCATTCAAAGCAGAAAAGGAGGACATAAACCATTCCTCATCTTCATTAATGTTAACACTCGTAAAGCATATGCATATCCAATGAAAAATAAAGGAACTCGTGAAGTGTTAAGAGTTTTACAAAAGTTTGTAGCAGAACATAGCCCAAGTACTTTAACATCAGACCAAGACAGTGCATATCTCAGCAATGAAATCACAGATTTTCTCATTAAGCATAACATAACTCACTACACTACTGAAGACCATAACCATAACATACTCAGCATCATAAACCGCTTCATAAGAACGCTCAGAGATTTAAATCAAGAGCGAGACTTTACCGAAGAAACAATGAAACATTTTCTCGAAAGTATATAATTCCTCAACACATTCTACAACAGGACATACACCAAATTCAATGACACAACAACAAGAAGAAAAGTATATACAAAAGAAACGAAGCCAAACACAAAATATCAGAAATTCAACACAATTTACCCTCATTCCTGGTACAAAAGTTCGTGTAGTTCTTGACGACAAACCGTTGACAAAGAAACGTTTAAGGTTAAGTCGAAATTATTATATCGTAGACTCTACGCAAGGTAATGGATATCTTTAAAAAGCTGCCGACGACTCTATTGCTTTTATCCTCGTCATAAATTAGTTGAAAGTAGTAATGGCAAACTTGCTGAAACCATTGACGAAGCAAAGCGAGGAGTGGTTATTGAAATACTTGACTACAACATAAACGATGACACTTATAAAGTAAGATATGAAGGAGGTGTTGAAGATGTTATACCATCTAAGAACTTGAGAGAATCTAAACCAACTCATCTGGGACCATTAGAGCGGGAGTACTGGAAAGACAAAAATATGCCAGAAAGAATAAGAAAATTCTTCTAAACTTTTTCGTTGGATGTAAATCAGACATGAACGAGAACAGTCATGATATCATTAATGGTACCAGGTTAATTAACTTCTTTAAAAAATGATGACAACATAACATTTAGACAACAGGTACGAAAACATTAATATATAAAATTCATGAAAATTCATGCAGGAAATTCTTGAGTTTTGGTTGAAAGAATACGGTCAAGCCAAAAGTGGCTCAACCTCAAAACAAGCATTTTATGAGCTTACTAAGGGTGTTATAAATGAATTCAAAGGTATTTACATACATCCTGACCTCGTTCATTTTGTTGCTGAATTCACCAAAAATAATTTTTAGGGTAGATGGTTAGATCTAACCCGATAACTACCCTCTTTTCTACCCTCTTGAATTTTCATGAATTTCCTTAAGATAGAAAAAAATAAAGTTAGTTTTATTTTTATTTATTTTTTTTTTATTTTGTATAAAAGATATGATTTCAACAATCGGCACAACAACAATTCAAACAACCTCACCAAACTCGTTAGTCATGAATCCAACATCTATGTTAGTAGAGATGAAAAGCTTTATTCCTTCTTCATATACTTTTGAAACAAAAATCCAGAAGATAAAGCAAGAACTTTTAACAAGTAATTTAGACTGTACCGCACAGAATGAAGAAAATGAAGAATATCTTTATGTCATGCAGGACATTATTGACCATTTACCCAAATTGCCTGAAATCCAACAACAAAAGCTCACTATTCATGAATTCGATGAAATAGAAGTAAAACCAACTGACTCAGTAGAAATAAAGAAGTTCATACGTAAAGTAAACTATGAGTTTCTAGGATATCATTGCAACCATAAAGTTATGGACAAAGATTGCGACATGGTATATAAGAACATCTCTGACATATATAAATCTGGGGAGTTTAAGACATACGACAACTTTGTTTCATTAGTTGCAGAATGTGTATGGCAGATAAGAGATAAAGATAGAGAAGGTAAGGTATGGAATGAACAGATAAAACCAACTGCTTCAGATTTAAAGAAAACCATTGACGCCTTAGTTGTTCTAGCAGGTCAAATTTCAATGTATAACGCAAAAATGAACCCCACAATGTTCAAAATGTAAAGCAGCAATGAGGAAATATAACTACTCCGTCAAAGAGATAGAACGTATGAGAAACGACTATGCTGACTTAAAGAAAGAAGTAGAGAAACCAGCAGAAGATAAAATGGACATGTTAGCATTTCTGAACAAAAACTATCCAACAGCAGAAGATTTCCTTCTGTCTGATGTCAAGAAGAAATATAAAGAAACCTTCGGCATTGTTAAAACATTCGATGTACTAAAAGAAGAAATAGAAGCTACAAAACTGTTTAGAATCTCACGAATTCATAACGTATATCATGTAAAATGTTTATAAAATAACTGGGGTAGAAATGAGGGTAGAAATGAGGTTAGATCTAACCATCTACCCTAAAATATATTTTTGCTGAATTCAACACAAAAATAATGAATTTCCTTAAGATGAAAAAAATAAAGTTAGTTTTATTTTTATTTATTTTTTTATTTTGTATGTAAGAACAGAAATGACAAACATTGAGTTTGAAACAGTTAGAAAGATAGACAATGACACCAAAGTGGTTAGAATCGGTGATTTAAACGTAAGATACTCAAAGAAATACAACAAATATTCTTTGTCAGACATTCTGACACCATCTGAAAAGAAAACAAACCACTGGGTTAGAAATGCTTCAACTCAGAAAATTTTGACAAGAAATCCTGAGCTTATGATATCAGTAAGATTCTATGGAACTACAGCATATCTCATCGACAAAAGTCTTATACCAATAGTTTTGTTATGGATTGACCCAGTTGTTGGATATAACTTCATAACTTATGGTTCATTCGATATGGAACGTTGCAGTGAAGGCTTACTTTACATCGTTCAGAAACCGAAGGACTTCAATACAAAAAGATATAAGATAGGAAGAACATATAATATAACTCAAAGATATGACTCTACAGTCAATAGAGTCAAAGTTGTGTTCGTTAATGATATGAGAGCTGCTGAAACAGAACTACTTGAAAAGTTTGAGAAAATGTATGGTGCTCCCATAAAAGGTAAAGAAACGTTTGAAGTAGATGAGATAGATAAAGCTATAAAATTATTTGACGAAGTTGCTGAAAAATACATGTAAAGCGTTTATTTTTGTCTTTTGTGAAAGTCAGAAAATAACGCTAATTTTTTTCTAACAAAAATTTTTATCTTGTATGTAAAGACAGATATGTCAACATTAGAGAACACAACAACTGCTATCGTTCATGAAGCCATAAATGAAGAATACGAGTACATACAGTATAACAAACAGTTACGTCTCATTCGTTCAGTCAAAATGACATGTACCAAATGCAAAGTATAATGAATGCTCTTCGTTCTACAAAGCAAGCATATCATTGGTTTGAAAACCAACAGACAAAAGAACTTTTAGAAGAATTTCCTCATATGATTGCTTCCCTCGGAAAACCGGGAAGAGATTCCGTATGAAAATCGCAAGAATTTGGCTCCTGGTTTGAAAGGATATTATGTTCATAGACTTTTAGTAAATGCTGTAGCAATGTGGGCTTCACCTCGTTATGCTTGTTATATTTTCATGATGTTAGATGAACTATATAAAGCAGAACGTGGAGAGATGGAAAAGAAACTTCAAGCAAAAGATGAAGTCATTGAATCCAAAGACAAAAGCATACAGAAAAGAATACCGCGTTCAGTACCAAAAGGAAAGGAAAAGAGTTATAAGTATATGATATATACTGAAGAGTTGGAGAAAGAAGAAGACAGAGATATGGTTATGTTGCATTTAGTCAGAAGAAACAACAAAAGCTTTTATGACCTTGCTAAGATTTACAAATTGACAGAAACTGGTTCTATCGTGAAAACTTACCGATTTCAATGACACCGAATGAGCAAATAAAGGAAATTGTCAAAAGTACTCTTCCTCAAACACACTATGACATCAAAGGTTGCACAATACTTACATTCAAAGAAGACTTACCATTACTGAAGGAAAAAATAACAGAATATTTCGATAACTTCAAAGAGGAAGAATAAAAAAATCTAAGCTAATTTTATTTTTTATAAAATTTTATCTCATATGAAAGAACATGAATTTAGAATATTCGGAACTCATGACAGAAGAAGAGAACGAACAACATGTAAAAGATTATGCAAAATTTCTGAAGGTATATAAAGCATTTAAACAATATCTAAATGCTTCTAAAGATTATGCAAAATTTCTGAAGGTATATAAAGCTTATGAAAAAGCGTATGAAAAGTTTATACATTGGGGAATTGTTGTAAAATATCGATATGAAGACTAACCAAAAATATATTTTTGCTTAAATAGCTTCAGGGTCATTTCTTCAACCATTTCACTTCCTTCGTCAATGTCAATGAAGCTTCTTCAACCTTTGGTAAGAATTTCTGTATAACATCTTTGTTCGTTATTGTCTTCAGAGATGAAGGATAATATTTCACATTTGTTTCACCTTTCTTATATTCTTTCTGCTGCGATAAATCTAAAACAATACTGAAGAAGTCAATATTAGAGTTCTTTATAACAGTATAATGAGTATCTTTGACATTCACGAAGAAACTCTTTTGTTTCAAAACTACTGCTAACTCTTGTGAAGTATATACGTTTGCGGTCAATGACGATAGCTAATGGTCTGACATACTGACCAAACTTAGATTCTTTCACAAACTTCTTGTTAAAGATAACATTAACGTTTGAAGCATTATTGAACTCATTCTTGATGGCAGTAGCGAGAGCATTGTATGAAAAGAACTTGCAATCTTGCATGTGTTTCATTAAAATAAAAATATTAAATTATTTTGAAAAATAACTTAAAAAATCTAATCTAATTTTTTCAAAAAATTTTTTTTATTTCCTACTAAAGATGTATCGGAAGTTGTCTAAGTTAGAACACTCGGAAATAAAACAACTTCTTACAGAAGCTAACATAGATGTTGCAAAGCATTACGCAACAAACAAAAAGGCACTCGCTGACATCCTCAATGACTACATGGTGAAATAAGTTATGATAGAATTCATGAGTTCATAAAGCCGCAACGCGGCGAGGACGAAGTCCATGCAAGAGCATTTCCTTTAAATGACGTTGCTATTGACTTATATCATAGACGTTCAGTATCATGAAGTAAGAAGAGAAATGTTTGACATAACAAATGCAAACGTTGGTGAAACAAGAAGAAGAGACGACACACTGAAACAACAGAGAAGAGAGATGTTTAAAAGTGCTATAGAACAAGTTCGCAAAGCTAACGATGTCATTCGTTCCATTGACGACAAACCAAAAGAAGGTGAGAGATGGTTAAAGAAAGATGAAGAGAATAGGAAGAGGAATGTGAAGACAGGCAATAGACTCATTGACTTTAACATCGAAGCTTTAGATGAACCAAACAGAGACTACTTACACAAACATTTCGGTAAGGTTTTCATGAGACTCTTAGAGAAATTAAAATAAACTCACAACAGAGATGGATGGTATGTTATAAACTTGGTGGAAAGTATGAATGTTCTACGTTAAACCTCAATAATATTGGAACATTACTACATCAGCTCTTGAAGGAGAACTTTATATCAGAGATAGAAGCAAATGCTGCAGGTATTGTTGAAATGCACTATGACTTCTTCTTGACAAACATAAAGAATCTTACTGAAATAAAGATGTATGATTTAACAGAATATGAAGGCTTAACGATGTCAGATGTAAAGAAAGGCAAACCAAAAAAGAGACCATATAGAGATGAAAGCACACTGACAAATGACCAGAAAGCCATTTTGGAAGCTCTTAAGCAAACAGGAAACCCAGCACTTTAGAAAGCTTTTGGAAAGATAATGGTGAAAAGAAGTTTTATAAGAAGAGAAGCGGTCAGTTCTGGAAGTATCTTTGCACATTACCTATAAATCTTGAACGCTACCAAATCTTCAATGAACTGAACAAAAGAACTGCAACACTTATGACAGAAGACAATTGTTTCGTTTATGCTTGCATTCAGGCTGGAGTAAATGAAGAAACTATTGACCACATGAGAGAAGTCATTCGTGTTAGAGACTTTCCTCAAAGTAAAGTACAAGAAATTTCTGACGCAACAGGTATAGCATTTAATGTTACCATTGGTTATTTCAATGACTCAAGACATAATGAAATAAAGAGGTATATACCAAAAGAATGTGAAACTGTTCGAACTATTGACTTACTTCTTGTTGAAGACCACTACATGCTAAATGAAAGATTACCAATGACAACATATTTCATTCGCAACTATATAGAAATTCTCAAAGCTTGTGGTGGAATGAACATTGAGAAACAGATGAAGATTTATACAAAGAGAGAAGATAAATATGTAGTTCGCATGGATAGAACTACACCGCTATGGGATGTTATGAAAACATTGTGGGAGTGCAAATATTTCGAACCTATTTCTTATGGAGAACTTTTCACATATACGACTGACTTATATAAACAGAACCTTGCACCATTTAAAGATTTGACATATGCTCCAAAGTATTGTGTACAACTGAAGAAGAAAGCCGAGTCAAAAGAAGTAAATAAAAATAAGTGCAAGTTCATTCCTGAGCACGTTTTCTTTGCTGACTTTGAGTGTAGCACAGACGGCTTTCATAAAGCTTTTAACATCTGTTATGACAGTGAAGATGGTTCGGTGAGTGAAAGCATTTGGGGTCAGAACTGTGCAACAGAATTTTTGGAACGACTTCCTGACAAGAGTTTAATATATTTCCATAACCTCAGTTATGATATAAACTTCATCTTAAGACACATGACAGAAGTGAAAGGAACTCCCATCATTAAAGGTTCACGAACAATGCAAATAACTGGCTTATATAAAGGAAGGGCAATTATTATAAAAGACTCTTACAGTGTTATAAATAAGAAGCTTAAACTATTTCCTGCTATGTTTAACTTACAAACAGGACCGAAAGAAGTATTTCCATATAACTACTACAGCAGTACTTTGTTAGCAAATGACAACAGAACTGGTGTCATTTCTGAAGCATGTAAGTTTATCCAGGATGCAGATACATTTATGAAAAACATAGATTCCATCAAAGGTTGCAGAATAGATGAAAACCATTTCGACTTAGAAAAATATAGCACGTTTTACTGCAAACAAGATGTAAGAATTTTAAGAGAAGGTTTTGTAAAGTTCCGCAATGACTTATTGAAAGAGTTTGATTTAAACGTTTATGACTACGTTAGTATTTGTTCAATTGCTAACAAATTATTTGAGAACAGAGTATACTTCCCGAATGGAAATCTTTATGACCTCTCAAATAAACCAAGAGAATTTATTTCGAGATGCATTCAAGGTGGAAGATGTATGCTGTCAGATAACATGAAACAAAAGAGCGAAAAGAAACTCATTGCTGACTTCGATGCTGTTTCATTATATCCCTCAGCTATCGCGAGACTTTATACTTTAGAAGGAATTCCAAAAGTATTGAAGGATGAGATGTTAAGCACAGAGTATCTCATGAGACATTTATTCGATGACGACCAAAAGGAACCCATTGGTGAAAAGTTTATGTCCGGCTTCTTTGTTCTCATTAAGATAACAGAGATTGGAATACATAGACACTTTCATTTAATAGTTTGCGACCCTGAACTAAATCCAGAACTTAACGTTCCAAGAAGTTCAAACACTTGCTGTTTAATGTATGTTGACCATATAACATTACAAGACCTCATAAAATATCAAGGTGTCAAATGTGAAGTGTTGCAAGGATACTATTACGATGGAAACAGAGATATTAGAATAAGAGATGAAGTAAAGAAGTTGTTTGAGTTAAGGTTAAAGTATAAGAAAGAAGGAAATCCTTTGCAAGAAAATATAAAGCTCATTCTGAACAGTATTTATGGCAAAACTATTCTATCTCCTATTGAGTCAAAAATAACCATAGTAGATGACAAAGATGCTATAAGATATGCTATAAGAAACTACAACCATATAGTGAAGTTCGAAGGTTTGGATGGTTCAGATAAAACTATTTTCAAGCTAACCAAAAGCATTTGCAGACACTTTAACTTTTGCCCACTTGGTGTTAACATTCTGTCTATGTCGAAGAGAATAATGTGTGAAGTATTCTGTACTGCTGAGGACTTAGGAATGGACATCTTTTATAGCGACACCGACAGTATGCATCTCTACAATGAAGATATCCCTCGTTTAGCTGAAGAGTTTGAGAAACGTTATGGAAGAGTTCTCATTGGTAAAAACCTTGGTCAGTTTCATAGTGACTTCGCAGAAATAACACCTGGAAAACAAAGTTTAGCATACAAGTCAATATTTTGTGGAAAGAAGACCTACACAGACTTACTCACTAACGATTTAAATGAAGTTGCATTTCACTGCAGAATGAAAGGCGTGAAGCAAGATGTTATTGCTTTAACCGCTAATGAAATGTTTCCTGACTCTGTTCAGTGTTTCTATGATGAAGATAAAGGTTTAATGGTTCCGCAAGGAAAATTTGACAAAGACTCTGAGTTCAGTTTAATGAAACTTTACAAAGCACTTCATGATGGTCAAGAGATTGGATTTGACTTATGTAAGTCTTCTAGTCCTTGCTTTACTGAAAAGTTTAACTTCTCAATAACGACTAAAACAAGCTTTATTCGTAAGTTGAAGTTCTGAGGTCATTTATTTTTGTCAGCAGTGAGACCATTCGTGATAAAAATAATGAGGTCATGAATGAGGTCATTTATTTTTGTCAGCAATGAGGTCATTCGTGATAAAAATAAAGCTAGCGTAGATTTTACAATACTGCGATGGTAGAGTTTAAGAGTTGTGCTTCAATGTAGAGACAGTCCTTATGGTCTGGAGGTAAGAACACTGGGCAGTTATGGTCATGAGTGGAGAACATGTCTATCCAAAACTCACGATTGAAGCCAGTTAATTTATAGTATTTAGGGTTAGGAAGTGGTGAAGTTCTTGTATGACCAATGAACTCATTTTCAACGCCTTTGGCTATATTAGAGAAAAGAATAGCTTGCTTTCTATCCCAAACGCCAGGTGTTACAATCTTTGAAAATTCATTTTTCCTCGGAAGCATTGCATCATAATTGAAAACATTCTTGAAATCATCACTTGGTTCAGAGATTTGAAATCTTATACGTAATGGATTTTTTTTCTTTTTAGCTACTTCATTGAATGGTGAGAATACAACAAACTGACAGTCATGTGTTCCATCTTCATTTTCATTAAATTCATAATGAAAGTCTATAAGTTGTGGCTGACTACCTTCTTCTTTCAGTTGTGCAAGAAACTCACGTAAAGGCTGTAAAGTTTGTACTTCAATGTTGAACTTTTTCTCGAACATCTCATTAAATGAAATCATACATTGTAGCAATGTTGTATCGTCTTTAAAGTATTTGTATATGTGAATGTTTTGGGCGCTTAAAGACTGTTCGTCATTTTCTATCTCGACTTGAAGTATAAAGTCAACCTTTCTGAAAGCACGTGTTATATACATATTTGTTATGCCAATGTACTTCTCTTCATTTATGTTCACAATCCAGTCTGTTGGAAACTTAAACGTTACTCTGTTCCCCTTTATTTTGACGTCAGAGTTTTCACTACTGAACGCAACAGATAAAGGTATTTGTCTATACATTTAGTTCCGATAAAAATAAACCATTTACTCTTTCTTTGCTTCAGCTTCTTTAGCTTTTGCTTCAGCTTCTTCTCTAGCTTTCTTCGCCAGCAAACGTGGGTTCTTTTGTCTTCCAGCAGCTAATGCAGCAAGTTGTTTTTCACTAAGTTTTCTCTTTGGTCTCTCTGGCTTTTGTTCTTGTTTTTGTTCCTTCAGTTCGGATAAAATTTGCTCACGAATTTCTTTCTTCAATGCTTCAACATCTATGACCCCTGGGTCTTGTCCGTAGGGCTTGTCTGAGTCATTTGACTGCAGATAAAAAACAAAATTAAAACTTTAACCGATGTAAAATGAGCTTGTCAAAATCAGAGCGAGAGTCTATTATATTAAATGACGCAAGAGGAATACAACATCCTTTCTATTACGTAAGTCAGAGTAAAGATGGTAAAATATACGTAAGAAAAAGAAAGGTTCCATTAGCGAATGCAGAAAGCGACAACATTAAGGTGTATGGTAAGGGTGAAGTCCACGAAGCCCATATAAAACCTTCTGTTCAAACTGAGCCACCAATAGAACCAGAAGAAAAGAAGCCAGATGTACTTTCAATAACGAACCAAGAGCTTATTGCAAAGTTCGTGAATTTCATTGAAAAACAAACCGAGTCAAAGAATCCTGACCCGCCAGTGAAAGAAGTTGAGACAAAAGAGAATGTACAGTTCATTGAAAATGTCAAGAAACAACTTCCACCACGAATGCCAAGAAGAAGAGTGAGAATAATGAAGTAAATAGATATTTTTATCCGAAGTAAATACATGCAGAACGAACAGTTAAACGAATTTACTCCAGCAGAGCATATTCATCAGATTCGCTCATATTTCGATATCATAGACAATGCAGTTCAAATTGGTGACACTAATAGAAAATATTCTGACGCAAAGATTCCATCACAACCTGGAACTGCTAAAGATAACACATGGGTAACATTCAATCTCTCACCTCCTGGTGAAAATATGTTGGACCTTTACAATACATTCATTACGTATAAAATGGAAGGTCAATTTATTGCAGATAAAGAAATTGGTTCAGGTTCCAATAAAACAAACCCACCAGGATTTTGGATTGGTTTCGATGACGCTTTCTATGCAGTTGCTGGATATCAAATCCTTGCAAATGGTCGTATCGTATATTCTCAAGACAACGCAAGAGAAGAAGCATATATAACTTCAAACTCACAAACTACCGAACAAATAAAGAAAGTAGATGTTTTCTCAAAGACTCGACATGAAGATGTATGGAGTCATTCGGGAACATGCAGAACAGGACAAATTGTTAGTGGTCCAATTACAGCAGGAAAGTCATTTGATTTTAAGCTTCGTTTAAGAATTCCTGTTAGAAGATTCCTTCCATTAGAAGCTATTCGATTTATTCCTGCATTTGCTGGTAACATTCAGCTTAAAGTAAAGTTCAGTAGCGACGCATTACAATGCACATCTATATCTGTAAATGATATCATTGCTTTCAATCCAACTCTTAAAGTTGCATTTGCTTCAGATTCAAATCCACCGACAAATAAATTTGTTCCATGGAATGAACCATTCACTATGATAACGAAGGCAGTAGAAGCTAGTGGAACAGTTACTATTACAACTGTAAACCAGCAACTATTTCGAACAAAGATGGATTTTAATGAATGTTTCATTCATCCAAAGTCATTCTCTTTAGACCCTAACATTTATACAGAACTTGTAGAACATTATACAAACGAGGCTTTATGTTTTCCTGTTAAAGTTATGGATTGGATTCCTATGGACGGTTCATTCTCAAAGAATACAGATAGTTCAAGTGCAACATTTACAGCAGCTTATACGCCTATTAATGTTAAAAGTATTTGGGCACTATTTAGAAAGAAAGACAACTATTATGTTAATTTTGAGAACCCTAAGTTTAAATATCTTCAGCTTTCCATGGGAGCTTATGGAAATATGCCTGCAGAACCTGAAAAATCATATGGACCTGTATTTTATGAAATGGTTGCGAACGCTTGCAATACAAACAATGATATGATTGGATTTAATGAAGATGTTATGAGGTCATTGGTGGATGATGGTAGTGTGGAACATAAATGGGATAGCTATGACAACACACATTTCTTATGTGGTTTTCCAACAGAAGTGGACTTTTGCTTCCAGCAAGGTCAAACATCTACTGCTCCAATAACATACAAATTGTCTGTTAAAGGACCTATTGAACTAGCAACTGAAAACGTACCAAAGCCACTTATTGGATTTATGAGGGATTGTTGCTTTGCCATTCAGGTGCGTGCTAATGGAATCCCAATAATAAGATTAGATGACTATAACTTAGCCGCGGACGACAGTGAGGAATAAAGGATGAACGTTTATTTTTAAAGCATATAAATGAGTTCTTCATCAAGCTCTCGCGAACCTTCACCATCTATGAAACAAACTTTACCAAACGATTATGGAGCACCTATTGAATATTTCTTACGAGCTGCACAATGGCAAAGAGCAGTCTCACCAAGGTTAGGTGTTCCACCAGCTCCTGTCAAAAATAGCATTTGGTCAAGTTCTTATATAAGATATGGTCTCCCACTGGGTTTGCTAGCTACAGCAGGAGCAGTTATGATGTTGAAAAGAAATAAAGCAAATGTTGTAAATAATACTGAAGTAGCTGAAGTTAAACAAACTCCAACACCTTCGCCAAAACCAACACCTTCACAAGCAAAACCTTCAATGACTCCTGAACCTATGGAAGTACAAACTCCTGTTCAAAAGTCAACTCCTAAACCGACTCCAACATTTAAACCAGAACCTACTCCTCAAATAAATCGTAAAACTCCTGCGTTTCCTTACTGAAAAAATAACGTTATTTTTATTTAATATTAAAATTTTTATTTGATTGAAATGACGACTAAAGTCACTGAAGCAATGAAACAAAAGTTTTTGGTAGAATACATTAAATCAGGAACTATTCCAGAAGGTTTTTACATTCATACTATGAAGGATGGTAGAGTTCAGTTTAGAAAGATAAAGCAACCATTAGATAGAGAAGGAATTTTGAGAAAGATTAAACTTCATGAGGACAACATTGCTGAACTTAAGAAGAAGTTAGAAGAGTTGGAGAAAGCAGACGACAGTGAGTTATAAAGCAATGAATTCAACAGGGTGAAAAAACAGGTGAAAAAAGAGGTGAGATCTCACCTAAATTTATTTTTGTGCTATGTTTTCATACGTGTGAGGGTGGTGATATCATTAATTTTTAAGTTTATTTTTTATTTTATTTTTTATTTTATTTTTATATAAATGACGAAAACTATTGAGATAACAAACTACAACGGTCATGAGTTCAAGAATTTGTTCTTCGTTCCTCGTGAAAATACATTCTATCAGATACGAGGGAGAAAGGGTAAAGTTAGTTTGAGCGTTTACGACAACAAACATAATGGGAGATATATAAAAGCAATAGATACAAACGGTAAGCGTGTTTCATTAGCTTTGTCAAAACTTACATACATTTATTTTGACAGTGATTTTGACTCTGACGATTGGAGTGACAGCAGCGATACTGAAGAATATGAACTATTGTGTGAAGCACAACAATGGGAGGAGTTGCAATACTTTTGTAAATGAGAACATTAGTGGGAACGTTAGTGAGAACGTTTATTTTTTCATTAGTGAAGTCGTTAGCGAAAATGTTAGTGAGGTGAAGTGGTTGGCGGCTTTGTAAATATTTAAGGTTAAGTTAGTGTTGTCGTTTGTGTTGTAAAATATACGTTAGCGGTTTTGTAAAGTGTCAAACTGTTATCTTGGGTAAGGTGGAACGCAGTGCCGCCGTACCCAAGATAGGTATACTAACTCATAATTATTAATTATTATATCACGGTAAATTTTCATTAATTCAGAATTAATGTCTATTTTATATGGGTTCTCGATGTTTGATGAAAGAGGCGGGGGGTATGTTGGATAAGTGGGAATTTCAACAGGTTCTTTACCAGGTTCAGATAAAATGATTGGGTCTCCATTCTCATGGTTTTCTTCATTCTCCTCATTCTTCGGTAAGTCACGAGTTAATAAATTTGGTTGAGTTGCTGACCTTGTTAATTCAGGGCTAACATTAACTTTAACATTTTGAATAATTCGTGATTTATCATCATTTACGTTATAACCAACCGTAATCTCTGCTTTTGCGTTAGTGTTCTTTTGACTAGTGAAACGTCTTCTCATTTATAATCGAATAAAAAAAATATATTTAAACTTTTATTTTGCTGGAACTTTTGAATCTATTATTCCCTGTATTTGTTCTTGAAGTTGGTTTTTAGCTGGTTCATTGTAATTAATAGACCTAATATATTCATTAATTGCATTCTTATAATCATCTGATTTCTCAAATTTTCTTTTATCTGATTCCTTAACTAAATCATAAGTTAAACCTCGTTGCTGATATAATGGTTTCTTAATTAAATCTTTGAATGCTTGAGATAAAGCACCCGATGCAATTCTTGCTACTATAATTGGTTGGAATTGCTGTTTAAGTTCATCTTTAACATTTGCGAAAACTGGATCGAATAAAGCAACTTTAAAGAATTTCTTAGCTGAAATTTCAGGTCTAATATTTGTATATTGACCATCAAACTGGTTAGAATATCGTGGTAATCCATCCGGTCCCTCTTCAATAGCATTTAATTCTTCATTGAAATAAGAATATGGATTACGACGGTATGAATTAATTGGACCATTTTCACCTTCTCCAATGTATTTTTAACAGCTTTTCCATTTTCATCAAATTGCATAGGATAACGTTCATTATATACTTTACGTTTAGGATAATCAGACATAGTTAATTTATAACCATTTATGACTTTAATATTACCTTGACCATCAGTAACGAAAACTTCATTTATACCATCAGGTTTTCCATTTGGACCCGTAATGTCTGCTTCGTGTGCTTCCCAATTTGGACCATGACGTTTGGCATATGCTTGAGCTTCTGGTAATGTTAAAACGTTTCTCATTTGTTTAACATCTTTTTGAAGACCAGCAACAATATGAACTAATTCTTTCATTCCATCAGGAACTTTCATAGTTCTATTATATGTACCCTTTTTGTTTGTCCCTTGTTTTAATGGAACCTGTAGAAGATTTGCTATTTCTGTCATGTTTAATTATAAATAAAAAATAAAAATTAATTATAAAAAGTTAATCAAATTTAACACTTCCTTTATTTAAATCAACTATTATTTTTCCATGTTCACCTAATTGCTGATATTGTGTGTAAAGTTCATTAATGCTCATTGGTAAATTCACTTGATAAAGCATAACGTTCAACTGTTGACGACTAAACCCACTGAAAATGAAAAGGGTTGATAGATTTGATTTAATGTTTGTGCTTAATGCTTTGAAGTATTGAACAGCCATGAAGAATGAACACTGAATGTGTCGACATTGAGTTAATAACTGATTAAAATATGATTTCTCATTTGTTATTAGTTTTGATTTCACTGCATCATCTAGAAAAATGAGTGAATGCAAAAATTCTCTATCAAAATTTGAAATAGAAAGTGTTTCAAATAATTCATCCCGTTGTTTATCAATAATTTTATCCTCTAATCCTTGCTTCTTGATTGTATTATATAATTCTTTATACATTAAAAAGTTTTTTAAATAATCTTCTGCTTCTTCTTGTGATAAATAAATAATTGGAATTTTGATTAAATGCTTTAAAGATTCAAATGTATCATCTGAAGGTGAACCTGAACGGTTGATATAAATTAACACATGTGAATGGGGGGAAGTGTTAGCAATAATGATAATTTGTTTTAATATCGTTAATGTTTTACCTTTATTTTGTTTACCAATTGCTGCAGTGATTGAATTTAAGTAACATTCAGAATATGGAATTTTCATTAATTTTTCCTTAGATAGAGCATTTCTATTATCACTCAATGCTTCATTAATCATATCATCTACGTATGTATTATATACTCCCGCTAATTCTTCATAAGGGGTGGATGAATTTAAATCCATTTAATCAAAAATAAATTTATAATTTTAAACATTTCTATTCATCAATATTTCATCATATGAACTTCTATACTGTGGTGGTGTACCTGTTGGATGATATTTCAAACCTTCGTCCGGTGTCCATGTCCAATACGTAGTCCTAGTAAACCAAACCTGAGGAGGATTTGTCACCTTTGAACAGTAAGTGTCATTTTCACCCTGAATGATTGGATAAGCTTTCACTTGTACTGTAACTTGTGAGTTGAAAGTTTCTAATCCATCAAAGAATATACCCGCTCCATCACGTTGAACTGGAATAGTGCATAAGAATGAAGTTTGGTCTTTCCATGTTCTAGCTAATGGCACGCCATTATCATCATTCAGTGGTCTAGTTAATGAGTCCTCGTATTCTTCCGTGCATTCATTCACTCCATCTAAATCAGAAGCTTGAAGCATACGTGTAAATAATATGTCACCCACTGTGGTCATCGCTTGATCGGGGAAGTTTCTGGAATCTATAGTGACCTGAAGACCTCGAAGCATTGGATTTTCTAAAACCGTTCTTTGCATTGCATTCTTCGGAAATGTTAACACAACATCTGTAACATTATGAAGAGCGTATGAGAAATCTGAGCTAATACCTTCAGGAGTGATGCAACCTCCATTTAGTGAACGAACGTCAATATGTTGAGCTGGAATCATGAATGGATCTTCCTTACTGAATAAACGTGGTATTGCTTTAACTGATTCTTCAATTAAACCATATCCTGGTGTAATGCATTTATCCTCTAAAACTTCCATCTTTGTGCATGAAATAATAACGTCATCAACTGTTGCGTCAGCAGATGTAGCGGCTAAGCTTGTAATTAATTTGGCAGGAAGTCCGATTTGTTGGAATTTGCGATCATATTTATAAACATGATTTCATAATCTTTTCATAATTTTCATCAGTTATCTTTTCATAAACGTAATTTTGTAAATCAGCAACTCTTAACGGGTCAACCTGACAAAATACTAAAGTATCCCTGAAAACATAATATTTAAGAATGATATCACCAAATGATTTAGGATAATCATCGAACGCCTGAAATGCTAACAAATCATTTACCGGAATATCATATCAAAAGTGACATTAACTTCTTCATTTGCGTTCTTGAAAACTTCTGAAGGGTCAATATATTTACCACATACTGAGTTATCATATTTTTGAACATTATTATATAACGAATGAACAAACTTTTTAACTTTCCTTTCTGATTTTGGTTTATATGTTGCAAATGCGAAAGATTCACGGGCGCAATCCATCTGAAGATAACCAGCATCACCTCTTTCGGTTTCTACTTCTAATTGTTTAAAGCTTTGATTTGATGATTTGTAACCAACGAATAAACGCATGCATTTAAAAGCGGCATCACATGTGAAAGCTTTATTTGAAACTAGAGTTGCTTTAACTTTGCGTTTAATATATGTGTCACCTAATTGGTTCACATCATGAGCCGGATTTGTAATTCTTAAATGAGTTTGTTTATCATCAAAATATGGAGCATCAGAGTCATAGCATGAACTTTCAAGTTCTCTATAATATCTTCTACCGTCATTCTTTGCGAATATTTCATTTATCTTTTCGAATGAATGAAATACATTTCCATTAATCGGTTTAGTGTTTGGCACTAAATAGTTAGTCGTCATTTATTATTAAATAAAAAATCAAAATTAAAAGATGAAAATGAATTTTTAATTTTAATGAAATAATCAACTATGGCTGCAGGTATATTTAAGAAACTGTGGGATAAAGTAAAAAGAGGAGCGCATAAAGTTTGGGAAACATTGAAGAAGGGAGCAAATTGGATATTTAAGAATAAAGAAGCAATTAGTGACGTTGCTGAATCAATAACACCAAAAGCTGCCCCAATAAGAGAAATATTAAATAAAGGAGAAAAAGTTTATCAAAGACTTCAACCGATACTAAGATAAAAATAATATTTATTTATTTTTCCACTATCTACCTCCTATTTTATTAAGTATTCCTTCAGCAATTCCACCAACTGCGTTACCTGCTTGTGCTCCCATCGCCGGATTACCTGCTTTAGTACCTAATACTCCACCTATGATAGTTCCTGCCGTTTTCGCTACTGGTGCCAAAAAGTTTGCAACGGGTTTAATAATCTTTTTATAAACCCAACCCGCAGCTTTCTTAATTCCATCCCATAATTTTTTAAAGAATCCTGCCGCCATTTCTGATTTAATATTAATTAAAAAATATATTTCATCACTTATATTCTAATTTTTATTTAATGATAAATGAAGCCGATTTTAAAAATAAATGAAACAGAGGAGGAAGAAATAAATGTTCAACAAAAAATAAACGTTGTTAAACCAATTACTGAAATAAAATTTTTTTCATCTGTTGAAGAATTTAATGACTATTATGCTAATAATAAAAAATTATTTGAAGAATTGACAACATGTAAATTGAATAAAATGTTTAAAGTTGATGGATTCAAAATTTCAAAAATAAAAGGAGTGGTTAGTTTGAAATCTATTCCTCAATCAAGAATCACCTCATTAATGAAAATTGATGATTTAACAAAAAGAATAGAAGAGATTGAAGAAAGAATAAATCAAATTATTGATTTCATAAATTCAAATAATCATTAGTTTCTTAAAGTTCTATGTTGAACTCATCAAATTTCTTTTTAAAGTTTATGAAAATAATTATTTCTAATTTCTTTTACTCTCTCGTACATACTAGATTTGAAGAATTCAGAACTTTTACCATAATCTCCTAAATGTTTTCTTATCCCTAACGTGTGCCAGTTATTATATGAAACTGAATAAACTTTATCTTTATCTTTACACCTTTCATCACTTCCAATATATTTATATCTCAGTTTTGATTTAGCATTTTCATATTCATTAACGTTTAATAATTCACAGTCTTCCTTTTTAAATTGATGTTTAAGATATTCAGGATTTAATACTCTACGTTTATATGCTCCTAACTTAGTTCTAAAGGTTTTTCTACAAAATTTAGGAATTCCATCCTCTTTAATGTCATCAATGATTTCCATTTCATTATTTTCAATTTCTTCTTCTCGTTTATGGGGTCTTTGATTATGACTCCATTGATTCCATGAAATTAAATATTCTTTATCATTATATTTATACCTCATTAGCTTATTTTGGCTTTCATATTCATTTAATAATTCACAATCTTCATTTTTAAATTGAAGTTTAATCCATTCAGGATTTAAACAATGTTTAATTAATCGCGGAATATCTGACATCATCTATATATAGCTTCTTTTATAAAAGATGATAAAATAAATTATTTTAAAATTAATGTTAATTTTTTAATGCGTTTATTTTTTAAAAATTTTTTTATTTTTTTTTTATTTCATTATGTATGGGTTGAGTGTATAATATTTATTACTAATTTATTTAATAATGTCGCGCTTTCTTACGAATTCATGACTTAAAAAACGTAAGAAAAAATTTTATATCATCTATGTATAGAGGCTGTGAAAATATACCTTCGTCTATATATAGATGTAACAAAAAAAGTCACACAACCCTTCCTATCCTACTACTTTTCAAATTTAAGTATAATAGATGCTTTTGAATGAAACTATAATATTCTCAGCTTACGTGATTATAGTTTATTATGTAATATCCTGTTTCTCAGGTAAATAATAGATTTGAAATCTTACTTTTGAGGATTTGACTGAAAATAGTATAATGAAAATAGATCACTACAGAATTATTTTATATTCAATAAACCATTTTACGAAATGGTGGTTCTTAAGGGTGCACCCGCATGTACGTTTATTTGAGAGGAGGAGGATTACCCTCTCAATTTTGAAAGCTTCGTTAACTTAATATCTCGATGAATATTGGATTAAAATTGAATTTGCCCATACCAATATATCTGATACAATATCCTTAAGTTTTACTAAAAAGAATTTTTTAAAATCCCTGCAGATTCGGGGATTTTTAATTTTTTTGATTTTTTTCGAAAATTTTTCGGAAAAAAAATATTTTCAGAAGAGCCTTAACGGCTAAGTTGTATGTTTAATGTTGAGTATCAAAAAGAATGGGCATCTGATATAGCCATCATATATCCCAGAAGCAAATAAAAATTCTGACTTTTTAAGCATAAAAAATGAAATTTTATTTTTTGCAAAAAACAGGCCACCTGGATGAACGTTTATTTGAGAGGAGGAGGATTAAATTTTTGAAAGCACTAAAATTTGTAAATATGCTAGTTATATAATAATATGCATTATTTTAAAAAATAAAAATTAAAGCACGTTAAAATCTTTTTTGATGAATTTTTACAAAAGCTACTCAGGATAATGCAAGATATGAGTAGTTAAATATAAATTTCAAATCAGATTTTACTTATAATAAATATTTTAAATTTCCGAAAATTAAGTTCAGATCGAGTCTATACGTAGTAAATACTAAATAAGGTGCCAAAAACCTATTAAACAGTATCAAAACTATCAAGAATGTAATGTTTTTGAAGAAAAATTTATAGAATTATGGACTTCAAACAGATATTATGTAAATAAAAATAATATAATGAATTTATTTATTCGTATAATAGCAGTAATAAGTCGATTATTCACTTCTACTTCTGAGATTTGAATTTAATTTCGACAGAAAAAGAGATTCAAGAGGAAAATACTAGGGGATACAAACAGCCACCATGACAGGATTATTATGGAGCCAAGTTGTATTTTTTGATATTTTTAGAGTTTTCCTACCTATTTAGGTACCAAGTTATTGCTTAAAAATTAAGGTTCTAAATTCTGAAGTTTACATGATCCTCCCGGGCGCACCCTTAACAACTATCAAATTTCGTAAGAAGTCTCTTAAAAATCTTGGAGAATACAATAAATTGCATATTGGATATTTTATTCTAGAGAAGGTAAAAAAGAAATTTTGCGTTATGTTTTTTCTCTCAAATAAAATTTAATTAAAAAAGCTAAATTTTATAATTTAACAGCATCTAAATACTCGAAACAAATTTGCCAATCTCACAATTTTTTCAAAAGTTTATTTTTACTTTTTCATGGCAGCCTAACTCAACAAACTTTTTAACCCGACGAAATTCGTTGATCCTTGTAGAAACGAGACTAATCTGGCCAAATGATAGAGTCCCCTATCCTTCATCTATTTCCAGATTTTACAGATGATTTATATCCATTTTCGCAATTCTCCTATTTCCGAGCCATCCTACCCTACCAGACTCATTTCAAAGAAGAAAATGCTGAAGCCCGCTAGGGCTTCAGCTTGTTTATAGATCCAAGGTGAAGTCATTTTTCTATCCCTGGGATAGACGATACACCCAAAATGTCACCTTTTTGTGATTCTGTTTTTTTAAGGTTCTCGCTGGCGACCCCCCGTTCGTCGAAAAAAAATGGTGATTGGGGGTCGCCAGCAAAAATCAATTTTTTGACGAACGGGGGTCGCCAGCGAGAACCTTAAAAATAAACCTCTGAAATTTTAAAAAAGAAAAAAGTGTGAAAATCCCCTTGATTCGAACCAATGGACTTTACGATTATACTATGACTCTTACCATTGAACTATGACTCTTAGGGTTCGAAAATTTATTTGGTGATAATATAAACTTTAATGAAAATTAATCAGATCAATTTAAAAATATTTATTTCATAATATTGAATGAATGTATAAATCTAAATAGTATATTATCAAAAAAAAAAAATAAAAAAATAAAAATAAAAATAAAAAATTAATAATAATAGTACCATCACCACAATTAGCAAATTCAAAAGATATATGAATTGCTATCGATCTCTTTCAAACAAACACATAGAAATTTTGATTAAGTATTTCAAATTTTTATATGAGATAAATATTGAACAGATAAAATATAAAACAATTTTTAATAATAAATATAGATATTTATTTTGTAGCCATTAAAATTTCTCGGCTATCTAATAAAATTTTGTGAGAACGTAATCTTTTCAAATTTAGTATCAATCTTTGGTCTTTTATTGTTCTCTCACATGTTGCTTCTGAAGGTGAAGCGGAGATAACACGAAGGGCGATATCTGCAAAGATTGATACATTGCCATCTCTATGAGAGATTTCTTCCCAACCGTATTCTTGACGTTCTTGAATCATATCATCAGAGAAGATATCATTATCACTATTAATATACGTGTTAAATAGTGTAATAATATCTGTTATTGTTTGACCCGGAATACGAAATTGTTCCAAAATACTTTTGAGATACTGCCTAGCTGCAACAAAATGGTTAACCGGCTGATTTGAACTAGATGTTACATCTGCGAGATCAAGCATAGGAGGGTCAATTGTAGCAGTTACCTGACGAATTGATCCCTCCTCAACCATATCAAGAGAAACTTCAGTCGAACCTTCTTCAAAGATAGAGTCCATATAGATAGATTGAATGTCTTCTACTGGATTAACGAAAGTTACGTTTGTAATATCAAATGAATTAATTGCCGGAGATTCGTTGATCTGCGCTCCGTGGACGAATTTTTGGTTGAAATAATACCTACCTTTCGGTGTAAAAGCGAAGGCTAAGCACCAAAGACCTCCAAAGTCCGATCCAAGGGTATAGTTCAACAACGATCTTGAAAGGATTCCAGCAAAAGGATTGTTGTTGCTGCTGGAAAGGTATTGGAGTGCTTCAATACCCTTGCAAAGCCATACGTAGCAATCAGATATCTTGGTTTTATCTGATTCGAACGTGGAAATAAGCTTCTTGAGAATTGCCAAGCAGTCTCTTAAGAACTTGATGTTTTCAATATCAATACGCGTATATCTTGAAATTTTGTCTTGATACTTGATAATAAACATACAAATATTATAATCATAGATCCACCTGGTGGATACATGCTTTGGACAGAGAGCTCCGATGTCTTCAACATGGATTCTACAAAGAGCTGATATTTCGTGGATATGTTTCACAATTGCTCCTAATGCTACGTCTTTTGTTGTCATATATTGATAACAATTATGAATCCTGTGGCATAAACACGGGATAAACAAGATTTTGAATAACCTTGGGTCATTTGAGTTGTAGAACGATTGATTCCATCCTTTCTGAAAACATTTCAATTGCGCTTTATTGCCATCGCAAACTACACTGCTGATCTTAACATCTCTAATGAAGATTCTGTTAAATCCTTGAGTAAGCGAGTGGATATAATCTTCAGATGTTCCACCATTCATTTGGATTGACTCAACAGGATAGGGCCGCTTGCTTTGCAGAGGATTTGTGAGGGAGAAGTCCAGATTGTGAAACTGCTGAGTCTTCCCCTCATCAATGGCAACACAGGTACAGGCAAGCTTAGCAAACTCATCAACTTTTGCAACATGGATTGAATTTGCAATTTGTATCATTGTTTGCCTTAGTTTGTCAGTTGAAATAGGCTGGTATATTTGAGAAGCTAGTTTATCAACATTGATGTTAACATTGTGTAACTGTGGGAACTTCAATATCATCGAGTCTGCAGTATACATTATAATGGTTTTAACTAGCTTTGTAAACTCTGGGCTTGAGAAGGTATTCAGAGCCAAGTTAAATCTTCCAGTAAATGTAGCAAGCTGTTCATAGATATCCCCTAACGATATAGGTGTAAGCCCTGTTGCTGGGACGTTTTGATAGTATTGATCGATTGTTTGTTGTGATGCTACTTCTCCTGGTGTGCATATGTGCCGTTTGTTTTGGATCCATTTTTTGAAATGATCCTCACGCATTTCTTCCATTGCACAGTGGCATATAGTTCCGTCAGGACGCTTTACTAGTTCATTGCATTTAACATAATATTTTCCGTACTTGTCGCCTGGTTTTTTATATCTAAGATACTGATGCTTAGTACCGACCTCAATGTCTTTATAGTACGTCGGTACTGCATCAATCATTGTTGAAATAATGAAGTGATTACTTAAGCATTTTTATTCTCAATTTGTTTTGAATAAATTCAATTTTTTAATGCATAATTTTTAAAAATTCTCTAATATACCTTAGATATAGATACATTTATTATCAATTCAAAAATTTCAATATAGTTTTGGGATGGGTAGCCCATCCCATATATTCAAATTTTCAATGATTTTGGGTTGGGATTCCCAGACCAAAATAATTTCTAATTATAATTCGTAAAAATATATGTATATCTCATTATTACATCATTTAATATATTTTTAGTTAAATAGTCACTATTTTCACAATTTTTATTATTAATTACTGAACTAAACAGGTTTCAAATAGAAAGAGTATAAACGATAAGTGTTTTTCTACATGTGTTTCGATAAGAATTATAATAATTGATGGTTTTTACAGCCAAATTTATTTTATTATTTAAATTTCAATGAAAAAAGATAAGAATTTTTTAATAAAAATTTTTATTAAGAATTTTTTTGTAAAATTGACACTGGGATGACGATAGGGCTGGGATCTTATCCACCCCGTTCATTTGGGAAAATTGCAGATCTATAGCTTGTTCATCCCGAATGAGCCAAATTTCAATCATCAAAAAAGAAAAGTTCCTTATTAATAAAAAACTTAAGCGGCATCGAGGATGCAGATGCTGTTAAATATCAAATTTAGCTTTTTTAAAATTAAATTTTTTGAGAAGGAGAAAAGTGACGCAAAAATCTTTTTACCTTCTCAAAAAGAATTTTTGTTTTCTGATATCTAATATTATAGTTTTATTTATTCAATAAAAATGATTTTTAGACCTGGGACAAAATGTATCACTACCATGTGATATGAAATTGTGAGAATCTCATTGAATATTTTGTTAACTTTCTCTCAATTTCAAAAGTGAGGTATACATTTTGTCCCGCAGTTTATATTAAATGATGTAATAATGAGATATACATATATTTTTACAAACCATAATGAGAAATTATTCTAGTCTGGGAATCCCAACCCAAAATCATTGAAAATTTGAATATATGGGATGGGCTACCCATCCAAAACTATATTGAAATTTTTGAATTGATAATAAATGTATCTAAATCTAAGGTGTCTTTGAGAATTTTTAAAAATTATGCATTAAAAAATTGAATTTATTCAAAACAAATTGAGAATAAAAATGCTTAAGTAATCACTTCATTATTTCAATAATGATTGATGCAGTACCGACGTACTATAAAGACATTGAGGTCGGTACTAAGCATCAGTATCTTAGATATAAAAAACCAGGCGACAAGTACGGAAAATATTATGTTAAATGCAATGAACTAGTAAATCTTCCTAACGGAACTATATGCCACTGTGCAATGGAAGAAATGCGTGAGGATCATTTCAAAAAATGGATCCAAAACAAACGGCACATATGCACACCAGGAGAAGTAGCATCACAACAAACAATCGATCAATACTATCAAAACGTCCCAGCAACAGGGCTTACGTCTATATCGTTAGGGGATATCTATGATCAGCTTGCTACATTTACTGGAAGATTTAACTTGGCTCTTAATATTTTCTTAAGCCCAGAGTTTACAAAGCTGGTTAAAACCATTATAATGTATACAGCAGACTCGATGATACTGAAGTTCCCGGATCGAACCCATCTTAATTACTGAAACCGCAATATTATCTCAAAATTTATATTATCCGGCCGGAAAGGAACTCAGTCCCGAGAGAACGTCCCTACGAAGCTCTGGCCTTTCCTGAGGCTAGAGCCTGCACATTTAATCCCCAGGGCCGAGTTTCGTCGATGATGGATGTTCTCGTCGAAACTCGGCCCTGAAAGACATACAGATACAGGCTCTGGCCCAAGCAAAGGTCAGGGCTTCGCTTACAGTCCTCAGGGCCGGTTTCCCCAAATGCCGCCCTGATCCCGGGTGGCCGGAGAGGAATCCGGCCCTGGGAAGCTTACAAAACGAAGCTCTGACCTTATCAATGGCTAGAGCCAACAATTACAATCCTCAGGGCCAAGTTTTGACCTTATCTCCATCATGATGGAGATTTTCATCAAAACTCGGCCCTGAAAGACCTCAAACTATAGGCTCTGGCCATAGCAAATGTCAGGGCTTCGTTTACAATCTCTACTGCTGAGTCTCGGGAGATGGTCTACATTCCAGACTTTTTTCCACGAGACTCAGCTTCCATAGTACAAATACAGCCCAGAAAGACTAGAAGGGGGCCCTGACCTTGAGAAAGGACCCCCTTTCCGGCCTTTCTGAGATAATTCTTATTCTTATTCTTATTCTATTAAAATATTGTTTATTTACATGTTCACATCCAGAATATATATATTCAGCCATATTAAAATGCATCACACATATTATGCCTATCTAAACACATGTAGTTCATATTCATAATTTCGACACTCTCAGAACTTAATATATTCATATATACACAGCTATAAACTCTCATACTCATATGGCATATGACACCTTTATACCTTAATACCCTCAAAAACCTATATTGATCTGTAATTGATAATGCTCAGTGTGTCTAGTATGTGTTATTTAAGAGTTCTCATCTGATATGCGTTTTAAACACTATATAGTATATGCCCTATCTATAATTAAGTCTATATAAATATTTTTTTGGGCCTCATTAAGTTATATAAGATATACATAAAATTAGATTCTGCCGAATTTGATATATATATGTTATGCTTATTAGCCATGAGCATCTGCCCCAAAAGATCAGGTATGATTTATTAAAAAATTAATGAGTTATAGCAAAAACCCATTTTTGCAAAACCGCCACCACTGCAAAAATGGGGTTTTCACTTTTTTCAAAACAAATTTTGGTACGACCCGAAGTTCCCACAGTTACACAATGTTAACATCAAAGTTGATAAACTAGCTTCTCAAATATACCAGCATATTTCAACTGACAAACTAAGACAAACAATGATACAAATTGCAAATTCAATCCATGTTCCAAAAGTTGATGAGTTTGCTAAGCTTGCCTGTACCTGTGTCGCCTTTGATGAGCGGAAGACTCAACAGTTTCCTAATCTGAACTTCTCCCTCACAAATCCTCTTCAAGGAAAGCGACCATATACACACACAATTGAGCCCTTTCCGGTGTGTTCGCACTCACCGTCTGGCCAAAATGAATGAAAAATTATTGAAAAAGGGGGCTGGTGCGTTGTGAATGTTATCAATTTTTGGTGTTTCCGTGAAAAATTAACTTTAATTTTATTAAAAATTATTTTTCTTTTGTTGTTATTTCATGTTAATGGGCGTGTCCTCGGTGTCCTATGTTGATTTTTTGGTGGATATAAAAACATTAATGGGAGCCTGATTGGGTATTAAATGCAATAATTTGTTTGATGTCCTCGGTGTCCTAGGTCATTTTAATTATTATAAAAATGGGACAGCAGGACATTTTGACAACATCGAAAAAATGGGCGACGAATTAAAAAAAATAAATTATTGAAAAATAATTGAATTAATTTTTTTGGGTATTATTGATTTAATTGTTGTTCTTGAATGTTTTGTTGTTCGTTCATGATTTCAATAACTTCAACCCGCGTGGATAGATATATATCAGAGGCATATTAATCCTGCTTAGTAACAAGTTCTTACATGCATTTTTTTAGATTATTTAAAAAATCTTTTCATAAATGGAGACAAATAAATGTCTGACTTCTATTCAACTCATGCGTCCCAACCAATTATTACTATCCATTCTTTTCCAATCTTTTAATTTTAATCTAATTCACTTTCATTTTGTATTATATCATTCTTTTCAATATAACTTCTCATCTTTCTTCTTTCACACATTCATGTATGTCTTCTCTTACCTTTCAATATTCATTCAATTCATAAATTCTCTCAAAAACCTCATTTTATAATTAATATACCTATCATGTGTACGGAGGCACTGCGAGCCTCCTTACCCATTATATGTGAATTTGACACTTTACAAAACCGTTAACGTATATTTTACAACACAAACACAAACGCCAACTTAACCTTAAATATTTATAAAGCCGCCAACCACTTCACCTCACTAACGTTTTCACAAACGACTTCACTACTGTAAAAAATAAACGTTCTCACTTACAAAAGTATTGCAACTCTTCCCATTGCTGTGCTTCACACAATAGTTCATATTCTTCAGTATCGCTGCTGTCGCTCCAATCGTCAGAGTCAAAGTCACTGTCAAAATAAATGTTAGTAAGTTTTGACAAAGCTAATGAAACACGTTTACCGTTTGTATCGTATGCTTGTATAAACTTTCCATTCTTCATTCCTTCATAAACGCTCAAACTAACTTTACCCTTTCTCCCTCGTATCTGATAGAATGTATTTTCACGAGGAACGAAGAACAAGTTCTTGAACTCATGACCGTTGTAGTTTGTTATCTCAATAGTTTTCGTCATTTATATAAAAATAAAATAAAAAATAAAATAAAAATAAATGATATCACCACCCTCACACGTATGAAAACATAGCACAAAAATAATGTTTAGGGTAGAAGGTTAGATCTAACCCGATATCTAACCCGATAATTAACCTTGTGAATTTACACCAAAAATAAATTTAGGGTAGATGGTTAGATCTAACCCGATTTCTAACCTCATTTCTACCCTCTTGAATTCATTGCTTTATAACTATCTTCCTTGGTTTCTTTTTAGTTGCTTTCTTCACGTCTGTCTCCAACTTGACTGTCTTTCTTCTTCGGCCGTAATGATACCAGTTACTTCCACCAGTCAATGGGTCAAATGGTCTTTCGTAAGGGTTTCCATACATTCCATAGGGACCATACGGAAGAACTACTAGTGGAGAAGAAACATTTTCTTTAGTTCCATCGACTCTATTTAAATGCAATGTTTCACCTTTCATCTGGTCATTAAAGTCTTTTGCGTGTTTTGCAAACTCATCGTCCTTTCCTAAAGCATTTTCTGACTCAGTCGCAACCAAATTGGATGCTTTATTTATGAGCCCTATTTTATTTAATCTTAACTTCTTTGCAACCCAGCCTCCAATCTTTCCTTTATTTGCATCTAATGTCTTCGAAACCCTTCCTCCATTCATTTTATTTACTGCGTCATAAGCTCCAAGTGCTTTTGCTCCAAATGCTAATGCTTTTGTTCCCATTGCGCCTAAAGCTGCCCAAGCTACCATTTACACCATATTAAAATCATCTCTCTTCAATATTATCTCATAAAAGTTCTCGTTACTGGAGAAAGTCAATGAAACATAAGCGTTCTCACGGGCTTCGCCCTCACCGCTTTGCGGTCTATCTAACTTATTTCTTATATCATCTATACGCTTCAAAATGTCTGAACAATTGCTAACATCTTCTACAACAGTTATTTCATCATGAATGACCTTTAAGAACAAGCTCATTTAATATGCTATTAAAATCATCTCAATAATGAGTCCATCCTTTCCATCTTTAGGTAGCACAACATCTTTCATTGAAGAAGGTTCGACAAGTCTTATGTTAAACGTACTGACAAAGTTTGTTATACTATAATGCTTTGGCGGCGAATACATATAGTTTGAATTTATACAGTCAGGAATGCAAAAGACTTCTGAGGAGATGGAAAGAATTATTGACAAACACCACTTACGTCAATACTCAGGAGTTTACGATATGAAACGACTGACAAACTACATTCTATTAAAACTTTCAAAATACCCCTTCAAAATATCCTTCAAACACTCTGCTCGTTTGCGACGACTTCGCCGGAAAAGGTTTAGTTTCAAAGCCTGACTCACCATTAGCTAACATCATAACTAAAGTCAGACATTACCATTTAACTGTAGCAATACTTATGCAAACATGGAGGTTTTTAGCTTTAAACATAAAACGTCTCATAACTGACTTCGTTATCTTTCAAGGTTTCTCACGCTATGATATTGAACTCATTTGGAAACAGTCAGGTATAACATTACCTTTTGAAGAAATTTGGGAAGCATATAAGTCTCTCATCTCTCCTCGTTCATACCTTGAGATTCATATCATGACTAATACCATTAAAGTCAAAAATATTCCATGGGAACGACCAACATTGTTTTAAAGTTTAACCTTCAATTGACTGATGGTAAACAAATTCCATGCATCTCTGTCGCCATTTCTGTTAATATTTTTGCTGTCATTCATATCATCCACTTCCCCATCCGTTAGCTTTTGAGGATATGCGTTAGAATAGCTGTTCTTAAATGAAGGCTTTTCACCTTTGAGAGCATAAACTCTATAACTTTCTGCATACTTTATGTTTGAACCTCCTGAGCCATCATTGACATAAATTTTTATAGGCTTCCACCCTTTGTTCATGTTCCTGCTTCTTCCCTTAGCTCTTTTGTTCAGTAGTTTTACATCTTTATACACAGCACCTGTCTCAGTGAATTCAACAATATTTTCATTCGTTAGCTTTACATTCAAACCCTTGTCGAGTATATTGTTCATTTCATACATATAAAAGGTTTTTATTCTATATGAAATGAGAAGCAAATCCATCTTAGCTGGTGCCGTTAATGTTCCAATTGAACCGACATCAAATGTTGACTCACGAACGACAAACAATATTGTCATAAAGAACTATAGTTCGGAGTGTTTGAAAGAAAAAGAACCAGAACTGAAATCCGTGAATTTAAACTCAGCTTCAAACGCTAACGCTACATCAGATGTTAAGTTAGAGTATCCACCATTAGACCAAATTCTTTCAAGAGAAGCCAAAGACAATCCTTACACAAATGTTCAAACAAATCCTTCAGATAACGTAGACCATTACCTTCTTCAGTTATATCAAACTATCTTACTCAAAGACGATAAGAAGCTTTTGATAAATCTTATAAGTAAGAACCAAATAATTCTAACAAAGGAGGACCTTGAAAATGTTATATCACGAATAACAGGGAAACAATGTGTCATTGACTATCTCGACCCTGAAATCGAATGCTGTGGTCAAACGCCAATATTCATGAAAATAGGTAACATCCGCATCATTGAAACACCAGGAACTACAGGAGTTGAGTTTAAGTATAGATATTCGAACGAGTATACAAAACTATCTACTGACTATAAGCTTTGTTTGAAATATGTTTTAGTAAATTAAAGCAGTCAGGACCTTCGGTCTTGGCGCTTTGCGCCGTCAGTCAAAAAAATTTCAAGTTAGCAATTTGTAATATCTATCCAAAACTTCTTCAACAGTATCGAACTCATCTTCATAATGCAAACCTAATCTTATTGACTTGGTGCAGTTTTCACTAACACAATATTTTTCTGTTCTCTTGACTGACATAACTAACTCATTTGTTTCATCAAACAGCAACAACCAAAGTTCATGACCTAATACATAACATTCATACTTTATATTTTTAGCTCTGAGTTCTCTTGTAAGCTGTTGCATTTAATATTATCTAAAAAGTCTACTTCAACAGTCATTCGCACTGGTGCCTTCAGTTCTACAGGCTCTCCTTGAAAGTCAACAAGTCTGAATTGCATGTCTTTCAAATTATGAGGACTAATGCGAACCCATTTACCTAAATGAGTTGCTATGACAGGAACATTTGGAATGAACATTGAATTGACTGCATAACAGAAGGATTTATATTCTACTGAACCTTTACTATTAACTCCTGAAATACCTGTGACATTAGCTATTTTAGACTCAATGTACAAACAGTTGCCATAACATACATATGGAACAGATTTCATCTCAATCGTTTTGTCAACACTTTTCAAAGGAAATGTCATATGGTATGCACCCAGAAGCAATTGAACTCTATGACTCATTCTTGGTATCTTAAACTCTTTCTCGCTGCTGAACTTCAATGTTCCCTCAGAAGAGAGTTCGACATCTATGTTGTCAATAGTTTCTTCATTTATGAGAGTATCTATGACTCCAGCAATTTTATCTATTCTGTACTCGGCTCTGTTAGGAAATGTTACAACACTTCTTTTGTCATCTATTTCAATCTCTATGAAATCTGTTTCATCTGTTATGACAAAAGTTGCGATAGTATTGAAGTCAACAACTCTGAAAGCAAGCGCTTCATTCTGAAGACCTAAGTTTGTTTGTAGTTTAACTGTCCCGTATTCATTCGGGTCTGTACTTTGCAAATAGAACAACATTTTATTCTCATTAAAATATGACTATTGCTGCATATGCGTATGAAACAAATGAAGCAAGAAGAGCACATGAACTAGTAAACGAAAACTCAACTTTAACCATTGAAGGCAATGATTTAGTCATTGACGATGGAAAAACTAAAAAAGTCATTGATTTCGATACTTTTAACACTTATGACCCATTCATTACAACAAGCAAGGTTCCCATCATAAATGATGGAACGGTGCAATATATAAATTCAACAGTAGATGCCTCATTAGTGAAAGTATTAAATGTTCTCATTGAATTACTAAAGAGCTTTCGATTTGACGACAACATTAAATGCTTAAAGAATTTAGTCATGAATGAGAAACAAATTCTCGGCGTTGCTGGTAGCAGTAATGATGTACACCTTATGACATTAGAATATTATAACGAACATAAAGATGAACTGAAAGGAGAGAAGGGTGACACTGGACCTCAAGGACCACAAGGAATACAAGGAATACAAGGAATACAAGGACATCAAGGCGAAAACGGTTTGGATGGTGAAGATGGAAAGGATGGAAAAACTGCTAAATCATGGATATGGAACCTTATAAATACTGGTTTAACAGCTGCTTCATATGGAGTTCTTCAATACCAAATCGGAAAGATATGGGCAGTACTTGGTGAAGAAGCTTTAGATGACGTTAAAGATGCTTTGAACTTCATTTCAAATGGTTCGGATACTATTAAAACTTTATCTGGTTGGATGCAAGAAACAAGGAGTCAAATAGATACTGTAAGACGTATAGCAAACAATGCACGTACGGGATTGGATACTTTACGAGAAGCACAAAATACACTAAAGGAAGCAAATGATATTCTTGGCTCAGTATCAGACATGCATGAAGATTGGCTTAAAGGTATTGACAAATCTTTAAAAAATCACAGTCAGTCTATTGCTGACTACAAGAAAAGTATAGATTTTTTACATAGTGCTATGGACGTACATGATGGAAGCATAAGGAACTTACTTAATGCTAACAATAATTACCAGGAACTATTAAAGCATTTATAAAGTCCTTTGTAAAACCTGGTGCTCTAACATTTAGGTCTTTGAGAGCAAGAGCATTGAAGTCAAGAGATGCAGAAACTCCAACAGAACCTACAGAAGGAACTGAAACAACAGAAACTCCAGAAGAACCACCAAAACCAACAGCTAATGAAATATTGTTCGAATATTTTCCAAGGTACTCTGTTCTCATTGCATACATTCAAGAAATACTTAAGAAAGCAGACTTGACTTTAGGAGATGATGAAAGTTCTGTATATCTTTCGTTCCAGTTTCAAATAGCAGAACTTTTGAGACAGATATGCTTAATGTATGACAACATCTCTGATTTCACAAGATATGATGACGACCATGACCCGAACACGGTGAAGAAGAAGTTTTACAAACATCCATTAAGACAGGAAAAGTTTTAACACAAAGTCTCATTATTGACACCGAAGATGGTAAAGTGGATGTTCTTCAAGAGCTGAAGAAAAATACTTCTGAAGGAGGTGGTGGTAGGCATGAACTTGAAATAAATGAGATAGAAGAGAAATTAGCCGAAAAAGCAGATAAAAACCATGTTCATTATATAAGTTCAGACGAACAAATTATAACGGACTACCACGGATATTTAACACAGGATGAACAAATAAGCACTGAAGATGTTAATGAAAGAAGATATAAATTCATTCGTGCTGAAGGTTATGACATACGTTGTACTGTACAGTATGACACAGGTAAAGCACCAGAAGCATTTGGTTATAACAATGAAATTTATGCTTCATACTTCTTTGTTAACGGTGTATTAGTTGAACCAAGATTTACATTGAGAGTTAAGGCAAAAATAACTTTTGAAGATGCTATTAAAAGTAAAGCTGACAAAGATGAACTTGACGCAACGAACAAAGTTTTGAAATCTCATAAACACAATATCTCCGATATAAATGAACTTCAAGCTACATTAAATAGTAAAGCTGACAAGAACCATACACATGAATCCTTCACTACTGTTAGAGCAGACGACATAATATTGAACTATACCCTTGGTTCAAGTGCACCTTTAGAGAATCCAAGTACAAGCGTAAAAGATACTCTTAATAGTTTAAATAGTAAATGTATGAACATTGAAGGTCATGTCAGAAACTTTGAAACATATAAACTACCAGCAATGTTAGATAAGAAAGCAGATAAAGAACATACACATAACTCCTTCTCAACTGTTGCTATAGAAAGTATTGAAGGAACGGTTGGCGGAACTGGTGGGGATGCATTATATTATAAACCTCCTAACTTTCCACAAGGTTTAACATCGAATGAAAACTTAACAACGAAGAAAGAAATTAGCTGTAAAAATGTTTATGTCATGAATGATGAAAATAATGTTAAATTCACTGCTCAAGAGTTATATGATAAGAAAGCTGACAAAACAGAGCTTCAAACATTAAAGACTGAAATATTGCAAGCTATATATCCTGTTGGTTCTTTATATACATCAATGAATTCAACAAATCCCGCAACAGTTCTGGGTTTTGATACATGGCAGCAGATTGTAGACAAATTCTTATACTGTGCTAACTCTTCAAAGCAAACAGGAGGGTCAAAGAAAATTACTGAAGCAAACTTACCTGCGCACACTCATACAGGAACTACAAACTTTTCTGGCGACCATAGCCACTCATTAAGAGACCACCCATTATACAACTCAGACTATAAAGCTGGCAATGACGTTTTATCTCCATCTTATAACAATTCAGCAAAAAAGACTTTTCGACCAACTGAACCAGGAGGAAATCATTCACATACATTTACAACAAATCCAACAGGTTCGGGTGAAGATTACATGCCACCATTTATGACTGTATTCGCATGGTACCGCGTTCAATGAACGCGCTTGAGCCTGCTTTGCAGGCTTACCGTCTTGAATAAAATCTTTAACTTTACTTAAATGAGTTTGAAAGAAGTATTCGAACAACATCCCTGGAGGTCATTTAAGAAGTTCAATGAAGCTGCAAAGAGTTGGGGATTTACTAACAGAGCTGAAGTTAAAAAGTTCTTTGACAAAAATGTTGTACATCAAACAAAAATAAACCCTTACGACTACTTTTTACCAATTTACTCCAACACTCCTGACGCATACCAATTTGACACTCTCATTCAAAGCAGAAAAGGAGGACATAAACCATTCCTCATCTTCATTAATGTTAACACTCGCAAAGCTTTTGCGTATATAATGAAAAATAAAGGAACTCGTGAAGTGTTAAGAGTTTTACAAAAGTTTGTAGCAGAACATAGCCCAAGTACTTTAACATCAGACCAAGACAGTGCATACCTCAGCAATGAAATCACAGAATTTCTCATTAAGCATAACATAACTCACTACACTACCGAAGACCATAACCATAACATACTCGGCATCATAAACCGCTTCATAAGGACTCTCAGAGATTTAAATCATGAGCGAGACTTTACCGAAGAAACAATGAAACATTTTCTCGAAGTATATAATTCCTCAACACATTCTACAACAGGACATACACCAAATTCAATGACACAACAACAAGAAGAAAAGTATATACAAAAGAAACGAAGTCAAACACAAAATATCAGAAATTCAACACAATTTACCCTCATTCCTGGAACAAAAGTTCGTGTTGTTCTTGACGACAAACCGTTGACAAAGAAACGTTTAAGGTTAAGTCGAAATTATTATATCGTAGACTCTACGCAAGGTAATGGATATCTTATAAAAGCTGCTGACGACTCCATTGCATTTTATCCTCGACATAAATTAGTTGAAAGTAGTAATGGCAAACTTGCTGAAACCATTGACGAAGCAAAGCGAGGAGTGGTTATTGAAATACTTGGCTATAACATAAACGATGACACTTATAAAAGTAAGATATGAAGGAGGCGTTGAAGATGTTATACCATCTAAGAACTTGAGAGAATCTAAACCAACTCATCTGGGACCATTAGAGCGGGAGTACTGGAAAGATAAAAACATGCCAGAAAGAATAAGAAAATTCTTCTAAACTTTTTCATTAGATGTAAATCAGACATGAACGAGAACAGTCATGATATCATTAATGGTACCATTTATTTACACCAAAAATATATTTAGGGTAGATGGTTAGATCTAACCCGATATCTAACCTCATTTCTACCCTCATGAATTTCCTTAAGACAGAAAAAATAAAGTTAGTTTTATTTTTATTTATTTTTTTATTTTGTATGTAAGAACAGAAATGTCAGTCGAAGCACAGACGTTCACGAACAAATCTAATGGCGAAACATTCACAAAAGGTACTTATAATGGTATTGAAGTCTTACGTAGAGACAAGGATGGTTACATTAATGCAACAAATATGTGTCAGCAGTTTAGGAAAGACTTTAGAAAGTTGTTGGAAAATAAGTCCTGGGAAGAGTATTATAAGGCATTTTGTGAAGAATATAGCAACAGTCCGAATTCCGGCGGTTGCTTTTTATACAAAATTCATGCAGGAATTCCTGATGAAATCAAACAGGTTAGAGGAACGTATGTAGACCAAGACTTATAAACTATATAGCAATGTGGGCTTCTCCAAAATATTGCATAGCAGTTGGAAAAATTATGGACTCCATAGACAAGAAAGTTCATGAGAAGTTAGATGAAAAGAACTCGAAGATACAGTAGAGAATGCAAAACATTTGTTTGAAGAAGAAGTTAGAAAAATGTATGAAAAACAATTAGAACATGAACGTGAGATATGTTATGGTTATAGAGATTCTCCATACGAACTAGACCAATGGGAACAAGAAGATTTAAAGAGAGAATTTAGAGAATATGAACTCGCTAAGATAGCATTAGAAGCTGCAGAAAAGAAGTTAAAAGTTTGGGGTCGTTTTGTACAAAAATATTGTGAGTAAATGAACCATTTATTTTTGTCATAAACGACCAAAAATATATTTTATCGTTAATGGTTTTTAGGTGTCACCACGTCACCATGTCACCAGGTTAATTAACTTCTTTAAAAAATGATGACAACATAACATTTAGACAACAGGTACGAAAACATTAATATATAAAATTCATGAAAATTCATGCAGGAAATTCTTGAGTTTTGGTTGAAAGAATACGGTCAAGCCAAAAGTGGCTCAACCTCAAAACAAGCATTTTATGAGCTTACTAAGGGTGTTATAAATGAATTCAAAGGTATTTACATACATCCTGACCTCGTTCATTTTGTTGCTGAATTCACCAAAAATAATTTTTAGGGTAGATGGTTAGATCTAACCCGATAACTACCCTCTTTTCTACCCTCTTGAATTTTCATGAATTTCCTTAAGATAGAAAAAATAAAGTTAGTTTTATTTTTATTTATTTTTTTATTTTGTATAAAAGATATGATTTCAACAATCGGCACAACAACAATTCAAACAACAGCACCAAACTCGTTAGTCATGAATCCAACATCTATGTTAGTAGAGATGAAAAGCTTCATTCCTTCTTCATTTACTTTCGAAACAGAAATACAAAAAATTAAGCAGGAACTTTTAACAAGTAATTTAGACTGTACCGCACAGGATGAAGAAAATGAAGAATATCTTTATGACATGCAGGACATTATTGACCATTTACCCAAATTGCCTGAAATCCAACAACAAAAGCTCACTATTCATGAATTCGATGAAATAGAAGTGAAACCAACTGACTCAGTAGAAATAAAGAAGTTCATACGTAAAGTAAACTATGAGTTTCTAGGATATCATTGCAACCATAAAGTTATGGATAAAGATTGCGACATGGTATATAAGAACATCTCTGACATATATAAATCTGGGGAGTTTAAGACATACGACAACTTTGTTTCATTAGTTGCAAAATGTGTATGGCAGATAAGAGATAAAGACAGAAGAGGTAAGGTATGGCATGAACAGATAAAACCAACTGCTTCAGATTTAAAGAAAACCATTGACGCCTTAGTTGTTTTAGCAGGTAAGGTTTCAGAATATAACGCAAAAATGAATCCGCAATGTTCTAAATGTAAAGCAGCAATTAGGAAATATAACTATTCAGTAAAAGAGATAGAACGTATGAGAAACGACTATGCAGATTTAAAGAGGGAGGCAGAGAAACCAGCAGAAGATAAAATGGACATGTTAGAATTTCTGAACAAAAACTATCCAACTGCTGACGATTTCCTTCTATCTGATGTCAAGAAGAAGTATAAAGAAACTTTCGGTATCGTTAAAATTTTTGATATCCTCAGCGAAGAAATAGAAGCTACAAAACTGTTTAGAGTCTCACGAATTCATAACGTATATCATGTGAAACGTTTATAAAATAACTGGGGTAGAAATGAGGGTAGAAATCGGGTTAGATCTAACCATCTACCCTAAAATATATTTTTATTGAATTCAGCAACAAAATTCTGAGTAAAATAATTTTTAGGGCATGTGTCAAACCGTTGAGTTTTCACAAAATTCCAAAAATAACGTTTACCATGTGAAACGTTTATAAAATAACTGGGGTAGAAATGAGGTTAGATATCGGGTTAGATCTAACCATCTACCCTAAAATATATTTTTATTGAATTCAGCACAAAAATAATGAATTTCCTTAAGATAGAAAAAATAAAGTTAGTTTTATTTTTATTTATTTTTTTATTTTGTATGTAAAGACAGTAATGTCAACATCAGAGAACACAACAATTGCTATCGTTCATGAAGCCATAAATGAAGAATACGAGTACATACAGTATAACAAACAGTTACGTCTCATTCGTTCGGTCAAAGACGATATGTACCAAATGCAAAGTATAATGAATGCTCTTCGTTCTACAAAGCAAGCATATCATTGGTTTGAAAACCAACAGACAAAAGAACTTTTAGAAGAATTTCCTCATATGATTGCTTCCCTCGGAAAACCGGGGGAAGAGATTCCGTATGAAAATCGCAAGAATTTGGCTCCTGGTTTGAAAGGTTATTATGTTCATAGACTTTTAGTAAACGCTGTAGCAATGTGGGCTTCACCTCGTTATGCTTGTTATATTTTCATGATGTTAGATGAACTATATAAAGCAGAACGTGAAGATATGGAAAAGAAATTTCAAGCAAAAGATGAAGTCATTGAATCCAAAGACAAAAGCATACAGAAAAGAATACCGCGTTCAGTACCAAAAGGAAAGGAAAAGAGTTATAAGTATATGATTTATACTGAAGAGTTGGAAAATGAAGAAGATAAAGATATGGTTATGTTGCATTTAGTCAGAAGAAACAACAAGAGCTTTTATGACTTAGCTAAGATATATAAATCTGACAGAAACTGGTTCTATCGTGAAAACTTACCGATTTCAATGACACCGAATGAGCAAATAAAGGAAATTGTCAAAAATACTCTTCCTCAAACACACTATGACATCAAAGGTTGCACAATACTTACATTCAAAGAAGACTTAACATTACTGAAGGAAAAAATAACAGAATATTTCGATAACTTCAAAGAGGAAGAATAAAAAAAATCTAAGCTAATTTTATTTTTTTATAAAATTTTATCTCATATGAAAGAACATGAATTTAGAATATTCGGAACTCATGACAGAAGAAGAGAACGAACAACATGTAAAAGATTATGCAAAATTTCTGAAGACATACAAAGCATTTAAACAATATCTAAATGCTTCTAAAGATTATGCAAAATTTCTGAAGGTATATAAAGCTTATGAAAAAGCGTATGAAAAGTTTATACATTGGGGAATTGTTGTAAAATATCGATATGAAGACTAACCAAAAATATTTTTTGCTTAAATGCTTCAGGGTCAATTTCTTCAACCATTTCACTTCCTTCGTCAATGTCAATAGAAGCTTCTTCAACCTTTGGTAAGAATTTCTGTATAACATCTTTGTTCGTTATTGTCTTCAGAGATGAAGGATAATATTTCACATTTGTTTCACCCTTCTTATATTCTTTCTGTTCGGAAAGATTTAAAGCAATACTGAAGAAGTCAATGTTAGAGTTCTTTATGACAGTATAATGAGTATCTTTGACATTCACGAAGAAACTCTTTTGTTTCAAAACTACTGCTAACTCTTGTGAAGTATAACGTTTGCGGTCAATGACGATAGCTAATGGTCTGACATACTGACCAAACTTAGATTCTTTCACAAACTTCTTGTTAAAGATAACATTAACATTTGAGCATTATTGAACTCATTCTTGATGGCAGTAGCGAGAGCATTGTATGAAAAGAACTTGCAATCTTGCATGTGTTTCATTAAAATAAAAATATTAAATTATTTTGAAAAATAACTTAAAAAAATCTAATCTAATTTTTTCAAAAAATATTTTTTTATTTCCTACTAAAGATGTATCGGAAGTTGTCTAAGTTAGAACACTCGGAAATAAAACAACTTCTTACAGAAGCTAACATAGATGTTGCAAAGCATTACGCAACAAACAAAAAAGCACTCGCTGACTTCATTAAAGACTACAATGGTGCAATAAGTTATGATAGAATTCATGAGTTCATAAAGCCGCAACGCGGCGAGGACGAAGTCCATGCAAGAGCATTTCCTTTAAATGACGTTGCTATTGACTTATATCATAGACGTTCAGTACCTCATGAAGTAAGAAGAGAAATGTTTGACATAACAAATGCAAACGTTGGTGAAACAAGAAGAAGAGACGACACACTGAAACAACAGAGAAGAGAGATGTTTAAAGTGCTATAGAACAAGTTCGCAAAGCTAACGATGTCATTCGTTCCATTGACGACAAACCAAAAGAAGGTGAGAGATGGTTAAAGAAAGATGAAGAGAATAGGAAGAGAAATGTGAAGTCAGGCAATAGACTCATTGACTTTAACATCGAAGCTTTAGATGAACCAAACAGAGACTACTTACACAAACATTTCGGTAAGGTTTTCATGAGACTCTTAGAGAAAATTAAAATAAACTCACAACAGAGATGGATGGTATGTTATAAACTTGGTGGAAAGTATGAATGTTCTACGTTAAACCTCAATAATATTGGAACATTACTACATCAGCTCTTGAAGGAGAACTTTATATCAGAGATAGAAGCAAATGCTGCAGGTATTGTTGAAATGCACTATGACTTCTTCTTGACAAACATAAAGAATCTTACCGAAATAAAGATGTATGATTTAACAGAATATGAAGGCTTAACGATGTCAGATGTAAAGAAAGGCAAACCAAAAAAGAGACCATATAGAGATGAAAGCACACTGACAAATGACCAGAAAGCCATTTTGGAAGCTCTTAAGCAAACAGGAAACCCAGCACTTATAGAAAGCTTTTGGAAAGATAATGGTGAAAAGAAGTTTTATAAGAAGAGAAGCGGTCAGTTCTGGAAGTATCTTTGCACATTACCTATAAATCTTGAACGCTACCAAATCTTCAATGAACTGAACAAAAGAACTGCAACACTTATGACAGAAGACAATTGTTTCGTTTATGCTTGCATTCAGGCTGGAGTAAATGAAGAAACTATTGACCACATGAGAGAAGTCATTCGTGTTAGAGACTTTCCTCAAAGTAAAGTACAAGAAATTTCTGACGCAACAGGTATAGCATTTAATGTTACCATTGGTTATTTCAATGACTCTAGACATAATGAAATAAAGAGATATATACCAAAAGAATGTGAAACTGTTAGAACTATTGACTTACTTCTTGCTGAAGACCACTACATGCTAAACGAAAGATTACCTATGACAACATATTTCATTCGAAACTATATAGAAATCTTGAAGGAGTGTGGTGGAATGAACATTGAGAAACAGATGAAGATTTATACAAAGAGAGAGAACAAATATGTAGTTCGTTATGATAGAACAACACCGTTATGGGATGTTATGAAAACATTGTGGGAGTGCAAATATTTCGAACCTATTTCTTATGGAGAACTTTTCACATATACGACTGACTTATATAAACAGAACCTTGCACCATTTAAAGACTTGTCATATGCTCCAAAGTATTGTGTACAACTGAAGAAGAAAGCCGAGTCAAAAGAAGTAAATAAAAATAAGTGCAAGTTCATTCCTGAGCACGTTTTCTTTGCTGACTTTGAGTGTAGCACAGACGGCTTTCATAAAGCTTTTAACATCTGTTATGACAGTGAAGATGGTTCAGTGAGTGAAAGCATTTGGGGTCAGAACTGTGCAACAGAATTTTTGGAACGACTTCCTGACAAGAGTTTAATATATTTCCATAACCTCAGTTATGACATAAACTTCATCTTAAGACACATGACAGAAGTGAAAGGAACTCCCATCATTAAAGGTTCACGAACAATGCAAATAACTGGCTTATATAAAGGAAGGGCAATTATTATAAAAGACTCTTACAGTGTTATAAATAAGAAGCTTAAACTATTTCCTGCTATGTTTAACTTACAAACAGGACCGAAAGAAGTATTTCCATATAACTACTACAGCAGTGTTTTGTTAGCAAATGACAACAGAACTGGTGTCATTTCTGAAGCATGTAAGTTTATCCGGGATGCGGATACATTCATGAAAAACATAGATTTCATCAAAGGTTGCAGAATAGATGAAAACCACTTCGACTTAGAAAAGTATAGCACATTTTATTGCAAACAAGATGTAAGAATTTTAAGAGAAGGTTTTGTTAAGTTCCGCAATGACATATTGAAAGAATTTGATTTAAACGTTTATGACTACGTTAGTATTTGTTCAATTGCTAACAAATTATTTGAGAACAGAGTGTACTTCCCGAATGGAAATTTATATGACCTCTCAAATAAACCAAGAGAATTTATTTCACGCTGTATTCAAGGTGGAAGATGTATGCTGTCAGATAACATTAAACAAAAGAGTAAAGAGAAACTCATTGCTGATTTCGACGCTGTTTCATTATATCCATCAGCTATAGCAAGACTTTATACTTTAGAAGGTATTCCAAAGGTTATGAAGAAAGAAATGTTAAGCACAGAGTATCTCATGAGACATTTATTCGATGACGACCAAAAGGAACCCATTGGTGAAAAGTTTATGTCTGGCTTCTTTGTTCTCATTAAGATAACAGAGATTGGAATACATAGACACTTTCCTTTAATAGTTTGTGACCCTGAACTAAATCCAGAACTTAACGTTCCCAGAAGTTCAAACACTTGCTGTTTAATGTATGTTGACCATATAACATTACAAGACCTCATAAAATATCAAGGTGTCAAATGTGAAGTGTTGCAAGGATACTATTACGATGGAAACAGAGATATTAGAATAAGAGATGAAGTAAAGAAGTTGTTTGAGTTAAGGTTAAAGTATAAGAAAGAAGGAAATCCTTTGCAAGAAAATATAAAGCTCATTCTGAACAGTTTATGGCAAAACTATTCTATCTCCTATTGAGTCAAAAATAACCATAGTAAATGACAAAGATGCTAAAGATATGCCATCAGAAACTACAACCATATCATTAAATTGAAGTTTGGATGGTTCAGATAAAACTATTTCAAGCTAACGAAAAGCATTTGCAGACACTTTAACTTCTGTCCACTTGGTGTTAACATTGTCTATGTCGAAGAGAATAATGTGTGAAGTATTCTGTACTGCTGAAGATATGGGACTTCAAATATTTTACCAGGACTGTGATAGCATGCATATTTTCAATGAAGACATACCAAAGCTTGCAGCAGAGTTTAAGAAGAGATACGGTAGAAACTTATAGGAAAGAACCTTGGTCAATTTCATTCTGACTTCGCAGAAATAACACCTGGAAAACAAAGTTTAGCATACAAGTCAATATTTTGTGGAAAGAAGACCTACATAGACTTACTCACATAACGATTTAAATGAAGTGCATTTCACTGCACTGCAAAGGTGTCAAACAAGACGTCCTTGCTTTAACAGCAAATGAAATGTTTCCTGAAGCTATACAATGCTTTACAATGAAGATAAGAACATTCACATACCTGTTGGAATATATGACAAAGACTCTGAGTTCAGTTTAATGAAACTTTACAAAGCACTTTATGACGGTCAAGAGATTGGATTTGACTTATGTAAGTCTGCTACACCTGCATTTGAGGAAAAGTTTAACTTCTCAATAACGACTAAAACAAGCT